ACTTGAGCTTCGGCTTGCTGGTTCCTTGGAGGAGTCTCTTTCCCTTTATACTCTTTTTTATTATGTTAGACATTTTTTCTTGGAACTGCCAAGGGGTAGGGAACGAGCATTTCATTACCTTTTTGTTGGATTTTTGCCGGTCATATAGCCCGGATATCGTGATTATCATGGAACCCCATATCAGCGGGGTAACGGCGGAACAGGTTATTTTGCGTACTGGTTTTGATGGTTTCCTGGTTGTGGATGATGTAGGTTTCTCTGGAGGGATTTGGGTGCTTTGGCAGACCCACACCATCAGTGTCACTTCTGTGTACCAGTGGGAGCAGATGATTCATTTCAGGTGCTCTCGACAGAGTGCTCCCAGCTCGGATGTACTCGTTTCAGCAGTTTATGGAAGCCCTAACGCTTCCAAGAGGGCTGATCTTTGGGCGGAAATCCGAAGGCTTTCTGATGCAGCAAGTTTGCCTTGGGTAATCATTGGAGATTTTAACGCTATTCTAAGCCCGCATGACCGTATGGGAGGAGCACAGTTCAACGAAACGAGAGCTAGACCTTTTCAGCAGTGTGTCTAGGACTGTGGGCTCATCAATGTGGGTTTTTCTGGTCCCCGCTATACTTGGAGACGGAGGAACCTACATCAGCGATTACATAGGCACCCTCTTTACACGACATCATGCTTGATATCCGAGTGCAAGGTAGGTAGGCGACCATGATACTTGGTGCTTGACTCCCCTTGCATGATACCCACATTATGATTGGGTCTCCACACTTAGCCAATTTTCGCCTTCTTTCCCCATCACGTCTAGGGGCACTAGTTGGTTCTCACACTTGGCAAAAATTTTGCCTCCACCATGTTGGGTGGTTGATGTTGAAGGGTGTCAACTCTTGGCGCTTGACCCCTCTTGTATGACAAGTGGGTGTTGAGGTAGCTTGTATAAAGCCCAAAATTCTAGTTTTAATAACACAAGATATCACCCTCTTTGCACGACATCATGCTTGATATCCGAGTGCAAGGTAGGTAGGCGGCCATGATACTTGGTGCTTGTTAATAATATAATTATAATAGAATTATATTCGAAATTAAATCATTAATTTTAATTAATTTATTTATAAGACTAAACTATTAATAATATATCATAAATAATTTTAATAATGGTTGAAATTAAATCATTAATTTTAATTTATTTAGTTATAAGACTAAACTGTTACTAATATATCATAAATAACGTTGAAATTTTTATAGAAGGCACAACAAATACTCCGCTATAGGGGTACGACCAATGTGCTCTCATGGAACCCAGTTATCTTCCCCTATCTCAAAAGGGCACGGTTGGAGTCGATTAGGCATTTTGTAGGCATAAAAGTCGATCGCCAACTCATTACCGCATTGGTGGAGAGATTGAGAAAGGAGACACATTGTTTCAACTTTCGCCAAGGAGAGTGCACCATCACACTCAAGGACATAGCCATCCTAACTCATCTGCCTATCGACGGCAAAGCGGTGTGGGTGAGTGATCATCCCCCCGAGGATCGTGTGACGGTATGACCGGTTGGCAGTATTTCATCCACAGTGTTTTGGGGGTGAAAGTACCAACCAAGGAGAGCGTTGATGCGACGGATTGCTTGCCACCATTGAGGAAAGGCCAAGTATCAATCACTTGGTTGACGAAGTATTTTAGGGACCATCACGATCCTGAAAAAAATGTAGGAGGTTGTTTACTTTTCCCTAGCACATCGGTGACAGTAGGGAGTAAGGTAGCGCCGTAGCCATAACTTCGCATTCTTTCTGTTGCCTTGTCTCATTATTATTTATTTATTTATTAAAAGTATGAAAAAATGGAGGCGGTAGTTTATTTTTTCCTAGCCCACCCGTTTTTAGGCTTTTGGGACTGGACTTGTGCCCGGGTCCGGTTTTATTCGGTCCGATCGACCGGTCCGATTTAGTTTTAATAACACAAGATATCACCCTCATTGCACGACATCATGCTTCATATCCGAGTGCAAGGTAGGTAGGCGGCCATGATATTTGGTGCTTGACTCCCCTTGAATGACACCCCATTATGATTGGGTCTCCACACTTAGCCAATTTTTGCCTTCTTTCCCCATCACGTCTAGGGGCACTAATTCGTTCTCACACTTTGCCAAAATTTTGCCTCCACCATGCTGGGTGGTTGAAGTTGAAGGGTGTCAACACTTGGCGCTTGACCCCTCTTGTATGACGAGTGGGTGTTTGGTGGGTCAAAGTGTGTGTAGAGGTAGCTTGTATAAAGCCCAAAATTCTAGTTTTAATAACACAGGATATCACCCTCTTTGCACGACATCATGCTTGATATCCGAGGGCAAGGTAGGTAGGCGGCCATGATACTTGGTGCTTGACTCCCCTTGCCTGACACCCCCATTATGATTGGGTCTCCACACTTAGCCAATTTTTGCCTTCTTTCCCCATCACGTCTAGGGGCACTAGTTGGTTCTCGCACTTGGCCAAAATTTTGCCTCCACCATGCTGGGTGGTTCATGTTGAAGGGTGTCAACACTTCGCGCTTGACCCCTCTTGTATGACAAGTGGGTGTTTGGTGGGTCAAAGTGTGTGTTGTGGTAGCTTGTATAAAGCCCAAAATTCTATCATTGGGTGTGATGAGAAATTTCTGCCAATATTTTTGATCACTTAAAAATAATAAGTGGGGTCTTATGGATAAAAGACGGGGTTTGTACCCTAATTTAATGGTCGCTAAAAACTAAACGAGATAGGTAGCCTTAACCAATTACCTAATTTTTGTGACGACTTAAATAGAGTGATTAGTTTTAAGAAACCTGACGAGTTGTGGGTTCGTGTGTTACAGGCTAATTATTTCAATCAGGTGAATGGCGTGTTGGTGGCTAAATCCTCAGGAAGAATCTCGACAGTTTGGCTGGGAATCCGAAAAGCTTGGCCAATCATGTCCACAGGAATGAAGATGAGCATCCAGGATGGACAAAGTACGTCGTTCTGGATAGATCGATGGCTCGACAGTGGAGAGGTTTTGCTGGATGCAATTAACGTGGATGGGCTGGCAATAGATCCATCCATCCCGGTGGCTGACTTTGGAAAGTTGGATGGTGAGTGGGACATCCCTAAATTCCATTCTTTTTACCTGAGGAGGCTATTTTGTAGGTTCTGAGTATTCAGCCACCCATACCCGGCTCTGGCGAGGACTCAGCTACTTGGGGGCCGGAAGTGGACGGACGGTTCCGAGTTTGGTCGGCTTATGATGTCGCCACAGGGAATTTGAACAACATGCATGAGTGGACTGGCGCCTGATCTGGCGTTGGAAAGGCCCCGCCCGGGTCCATAATATCATGTGGCTGGCTGTCCGAGATCGCCTACTCACTAACCAGGAGCGTTCGCGACGTCACCTTACCAGCTTGTCGGGATGTCAACAGTGCGGAGACCCGACTGAATCAGTCCTGCATGTGTTGTGGGACTGCCTTTTTCCAGGTTTACTTGGATGCAGCTCCCTCAGCTTTATGATCGACCAGACTTCTTCAGGAGGCCTTTACAAGGGTGGATTCTTGACAATGTTCGTGATGCGCAGTCTAGCCTTGAGTTCAGCATTATCTGCTGGTCCCTCTGGCGGACCAGGAATGACAGAGTCTTCGCAGGCAAAGTCATCACAACTGAACTTTTTCTACAGCGCGTCCTGGCATGGATAAATGTCCTGCGGAATGCCATGGACAAAGACAGGCTTGTTCTTTCGCCATCACGCCTAGGGGCACTAGTTGGTTCTCGCACTTGGCCAAAATTTTGCCTCCACCATGCTGGGTGGTTGATGTTGAAGGGTGTCAACACTTGGCGCTTGACCCCTCTTGTATGACAAGTGGGTGTTTGGTGGGTCAAAGTGTGTGTTGAGGTAGCTTGTATAAAGCCCAAAATTCTATCATTGGGTGTGATGAGAAATTTCTGTCAATATTTTTGGTCACTTAAAAATAATAAGTGGGGTCTTATGGATAAAAGACTGGGTTTGTACCCTAATTTAATGGTCGCTAAAAACTAAACGAGGTAGGTAGCCTTAACCAATTACCTAATTTTTGTGACGACTTAAATAGAGTGATAGGTTTTAAGAAACCTGACGAGTTGTGGGTTCGTGTGTTACAGGCTAATTATTTCAATCAGGTGAATGGCGTGTTGGTGGCTAAATCCTCAGGAAGAATCTCGACAGTTTGGCTGGGAATCCGAAAAGCTTGGCCAATCATGTCCACAGGAATGAAGATGAGCATCCAGGATGGACAAAGTACGTCGTTCTGGATAGATCGATGGCTCGACAGTGGAGAGGTTTTGCTGGATGCAATTAACGTGGATGGGCTGGCAATAGATCCATCCATCCCGGTGGCTGACTTTGGAAATTTGGATGGTGAGTGGGACATCCCTAAATTCCATTCTTTTTACCTGAGGAGGCTATTTTGTAGGTTCTGAGTATTCAGCCACCCATACCCGGCTCTGGCGAGGACTCAGCTACTTGGGGGCCGGAATTGGACGGACGGTTCCGAGTTTGGTCGGCTTATGATGTCGCCACAGGGGACTTTGAACGACATGCATGAGTGGACTGGCGCCTGATCTGGCGTTGGAAAGGCCCCGCCCGGGTCAATAATTTCATGTGGCTGGCTGTCCGAGATCGCCTACTCACTAACCAGGAGCGTTCGCGACGTCACCTTACCAGCTTGTAGGGATGTCAACAGTGCGGAGACCCGACCGAATCAGTCCTGCATGTGTTGTGGGACTGCCTTTTTCCAGGTTTACTTGGATGCAGCTCCCTCAGCTTTATGATCGACCAGACTTCTTCAGGAGGCCTTTACAAGGGTGGATTCTTGACAATGTTCGTGATGCGCAGTCTAGCCTTGAGTTCAGCATTATCTGCTGGTCCCTCTGGCGGACCAGGAATGACAGAGTCTTCGCAGGCAAAGTCATCACAACTGAACTTTTTCTACAGCGCGTCCTGGCATGGATAAATGTCCTGCGGAATGCCATGGACAAAGACAGGCTTGTTCTTTCGCCTAGTTTGCCCATAAGAACGGAGGTGGAGATCTCTTGGAAGCCTCCACCTCTAGAGTGGGTCACTCTCAATTCAGATGGCTCCGTCCTTCCTGACTCATGCCATGAGGCGGCTGGTGGCCTGATTCGAGTTCACACAGGACGCTGCACTGCAGCGTTTGCGCTTAACTTGGGGATTTGCTCTATCACCCTAGCAGAATTGAGAGGCGTTGTTGAAGGACTTCAGTTGGCTTGGGACAACGGCCATCGAAGCGTTCACATGGAACTTGATTCCAGATGTGCGATTCAGCTACTTCGGAGTTGTGAGGCGATGAATCATCATGAGGCCGCTATTATTGGCCGTTTTCAGGATCTTCTTTCTCGAGACTAGGTAGTCTCGATCTCCCATATCTACAGAGAGGGAAATAAATGCGCGGACTATTTGGCTAGTAGGGGTCACACTCTTCCCTTGGGGTTTCACGATGTGTCAGATTCTGATTCTGGGTTATGTAATTTTCTCATGTACGATTGTCAAGGACTCTCTGAGTCCCGTTGGGTTGTGAATGAAAGCTGAGATGCGCTGCATCCATTTACCAACAAAAAAAAAACCAAATTGGTTGCATGGTTGGTTGCAACACTTAAGAATTTTAGATATTTAACAACTCCTCCCCCTGCGATACCTTCAATGTTCATTCTGCGCGGCCGCTAAAGATTCCGTCCAACCCAAAAGAAAACAAAATTGCTAAAATTAAAGAAAGCCCAACCCAAAAGAAAACAAAATTGCTAAAATTAGAGAAAAACATATCCGCCAGGTCAACCACTGCATGATATTGGGTTGAAGGTCAAATTGTGTTCTTTGTTTTCTTTGGTTTGTGAAGTGTGACTATTTTTTATTTTTCTTTTCTCCTAATTCATTATTTGAAATTCTAAGTTGAACATTTGAATATTGATGTTCTATAAATGTGTGAAAAATTGAAAATTCACTATATGTTGGATTTAAGTACGACTTGTTATTTTGGTGTAATGTTGTATTCTATTACTAGATTATTTGACATAATTTATAAATTTATGAAAAATATATGACTTTTTCATATATCTAAGTTAAATCAGACTACAACGATTGGACGATTAATCCTCAACCTACTTGCTCGACCGGATCAACTGGCTACACCGGTTGACAACGTTGGTTTCTATCACTTCTAACTTCTCTGATAAATTTTGGAACCAAAACACAATTATCCGTATCATTGTTTCCCTGTATGATGGTGACTGCTCCAACCTATTTCTTGCAATAAACCATATCAGATTAAGTAGCTAAATTTTAAAATTCCAGATTTTCTTTACATACTTAACACCAATCATGACCACTAGGATTTTTGGTGGAATCTTATTCAATATTCTTAAGACCTGTCTTTTATTTACCTTTTAATTTTTCATTATCCATTTTTATCACTATTGACTATACACAATATCCCCTTCCTTTTCTCCTCCACGTCCTCTACCCTACTTTATTACTTTTTAATGGGACAAAAGCATTGTTATAAGAACCAAATCAGATTAATGGTTTGGCCAATAGAACTACTAAATCAATTACAATGGCTCAGTTTGGCTCTGTTTTAGCTTTTGCAGAAGCAGCTTCTAGCTTGAGCTTTTAGAGATGTACTTTTCAAATAAAGCAGTTGAGTGTCTGGTTGAAAATTTATTAAATTTTTTTAATATGATAGGTTGTGTAAAATGACTATAAATGACTTATAATATAAAATATGAACAATAATTCTAAACAATAAAATGTAGTCAAAATGGATCTTGTTAGACTTCTTTTGTATTAAATAATATGATTTTATACTTTATTTATTTTTAAAATGATATAAATGAAAGAAAATTATATTTTCTTAAATAAAATTAAAATATGGTAAGGATAATCTTGTATTTTCAAAACAGCTTTTCGCAGAAGCTCCAAATCGGAGCTTCTGCTTGTTATACAAAACCGCTTTTCGGCTTTTCAAAAGCCAAACTTTTAGAGGTGTTTGGCCATACTTCAGCTTTTGAAGCAAAAAGCACTTCTAAAAGCCGGGCCAAACATAGGCAATATAGTAACTCGGTTTATTTGATTGTATAGTTAGCCACGAACCCAAATGGTTTATGATTGTTTGCCATGAAACCATATGAGCTACCACAATTTGACTGACTAATGTTTCAAAAATTTAATCATATAAATATTAAATTTTTTAACGTAGACAAAGATCCCATCCAAATTACTTATTTCATTGATGCTTCATTTTCCTAGCATCCATGTGAGCTTTATGTCATCGACTACGGATTGTCACCCTGATTACTAACTTGAATTTAATAAAAAAAGATTTGATTATTTTTGTGAGATAGTTATAATAATTTCTTAGAACATTTTGGTAATACATGATATGAATATGTATTTATTTATGGCTAGTGATACTTTCACTTCTAAATTAGCGTATTATCTATATTTTTTTTATGCCATAACGGCTAATCGTTAAACCATCAACTACTAACTTTTCTATTTCAGTATCCGGTTTGATCATGAAAAGATTAAAAAAAAGTAAGAGATAAAACTTTGTCATAATTTGTTTAGTGTTTCTTGAGAATGTTTCGTAACAAAAATGGAAACACACTAAATCCCTGCAACAGAGTGCGGGCAGGTACACAGGAGCGGATATCATTAGTAGCCTTGTGGTGAGTAATTATGAGTAACCCAATCCGAATCCGCCACATCAGCACCCTTTCTTTCTCATGGAAATACTTTAATTTTTACCCTTTAATTTTTAACGGACAATTTCTCTCTCGTTTTCTGTTGCAATTTAAATTTTTTTGCACAGTTAAATCAAATTAATTGTGATTTTCAAAATGATATTGACTATAATTTATTTTCAAAATGATATTGACTTTGATATAGTTTTAAAAATAATTGATATAATTTTAAATCCGAATTAGAACAAAGAAGACATGATCCGATTAAAAAAAGTAGGAGAAATAAAATGATTTTAATTATCAACCCTTAAATCTACAACCCACTAAAAAAGAAGAGTCCAGATTTGATTAATAATATTAAGCACCCTAATTCCTCAAATTACTCACCCTATCTTGAGCCATGTACACCTAATGTATATGATCGTCGATCCTTTGCTAGGATAGATAGGATTTTATCCTCATTCTTATATACACATCCATAATAAGTATTATTAGATGCAAGCTAAGCTCGGGATAGTCCATGTTTTAGTGTACTCTCTAATCATCATTTATATTAATAAGAAATTACATGTACTCATTTACATAGAAGGATGAAAAAAACAATGTGCTTTTGTGCCGAAAGGAGCAAAATAGTGAAGGCAAGGAACCAAAAGCGGCCGGTCCTCAACAAAATCAGATGAGTTGGATGGTTAATTGCAAGACTTAGAATTTCATACATGCACAAACTCCTCCCCCAGCGATACCTACAATGTTAGTTACGTTCATCCTGCGCATTGACGGCCGCTAAAGATTCCGGCCATAAAAAATTGCTAAAATTAAAGAAGCCCAAAAAGTCAAGTGTCTTGTTCGCTATCCATATAATGTCGTTATTGCCGTGAAGAATGTTATTTTCCACCGTCTACTTCTACGCAACCGCAAATAACAATAATAATACTTGGTATTGTTTTATTGAAATAATTAATAATAAAAATGCAATACCAAAATGGTTGGACTCAAATTGCTAGTTTTTGTAGTTTCTTCGGCTCCAGTGGTATAAATAGGAGATGATATTTTCATGATCATCACTCAATTTAACAAAGATAGACGAACATATGTAAAGAAGAAAAGACTGAATTAGTTCAGACATTCTTCCGTCCGGAGAAGCATAAATATATGACGATGGGCAAGGCTAACCTCAAGTTCGTGATGCTCGCTTTGCTGGTCTGCCTTCTAATCACCAGCAGTAAGTTTTTTTTGTTTATGCATAGATATATGCATGCATGTCTCTTAACTGTGCATGTACTTTTCCCCAATAGTGGCCTCTGGAACAATATATTTCTTCTTTGGTGATGTGTGGAATAAATATTGAGCAGGTGCCGCTACCAAGACGAAGTGCAGTACTGACCTCTACGTAGTAGAAGACGGCGAAGATTGCTATAAGATAGCCACAGCCCACAACATGAGCGTTGAGGAACTCGAGAGCTTGAACCCTTATGTCAGCTGCGCCAAACTGCAGCCTGGAAACAAGCTCTGCCTAGGAAAAAATTATTAATTAAGAACCCTACCTACCTTTATATTTGCATATCGATCAACCACAACAATGCTCAAAATATTCTCAGTAAGTTTGACCTTAATGTCTCGTCATTCATCGACGATTCGTAGGTCTAATAAGAAACTAAAGTTTACCGATGTAGCCTTTATATCCGCGATATCATGAATAATATTATTATTATTATATTATTATGGAACAATAGTAAGATATGCATGTCTTACTTTGTTTTATCAATGTCAATCCAGTGTTTCCACGGGAAGAATCATATATAATGCCCTATATTCTGATTGATTTATGTATGGGTTATTGACCACAAGGTTATGCACCTCATCCACTCCCTCTGTATAGGAACGTATAGCACATCGACATTTTTCGTCACTTAAAATATTTTTGGTTACAGGCCGATGATGAATTGGGTTTGATAAAAAAAAAATTAGTCAATATTTTCTTCTAATTATCGAAAAGAAAAACCTCGCCCCCATCCTCTCACTCCTTCGCCAAGGTGACATATTATTGCCATAAGATATTGGTTGTGATAAGATATGTATAATCTAATTTTTGGAAATTGAAAGATGATTAATTGGTCGTGATGATGAATTTTAGCATTATATTTTGTCACTAAAATAATAAGTGTGGTCCTATGATAAAAGATTGGTTTTGTGACCTAATGTAGTGGTCGCTAAAAGATAAACAAAGTAGTTAGCTTTAACCGATGGGAGTTGATAAAAGTCATCCTAAAAATTATTAATGATCGTCCTAAAAAACAACAACGCTACACGTTTAACCTTTTAGCATCTTTACCTTTCCTTTAGCAAACAAACACCACCTTCACTTAGAAAGTAAAAAACACTCATTCTCCCACACTCTCGAATTCATCATCGAAATTTGGAAGCCGTAATCGTCGAGAATATGTCTGAACAATGAGTAGCGACTCCGACGAGGTAAAAATTTTGATTTTTTTATAAAAAACAACCTAAAAGACCTCAGCCGAAGGTAATTTTCTGTTGGTCCATGGTTCAACTGAAAATCAGATTCGGTTGAACCATGGACCAACCGAAAATCACATTCGGTTATGCCATGGACGAACCAAAATTCTGTTTTGTTTGGGCCATGGTAGAAACGAAATTTGGTTTCTGTTGATCCCCGATAGAACCGAAAATTGTCTTCGGTTAAGCCATGGTGGAACTAAAAATTGGTTTCTGTTGATGGATTTTGGGTTTTTTTTAGTTTATATAAAATATTTCTATTCTTTTGTTAGATTTATAGTTTGGTCCATAAGATAGTTTGTTGATTAGTTTATATTATTTCTTTAGATTTATGAGCATAATTATTTGTGAAATTGAATGCTTTTGTATACAAAATTAAGATTAGATGTATAATGCGCAAATAAAGAATAGAAAAATGTAGAATACCATTCTTACATTAGATGTAGTTATGAATTTGAAAATTCTTATCGTAGAAAAATGTAGTTTTTTTTTTTTTTTTTTGCATACAGGGAGGCACAAAGCCAAAGAAGGGAGAAAAGGGGGTTACAGATCAGGAGAAGAAGGAGGGGGGACTATAAGTCTAGCAAAGGTAATGCCTCTGGCATCGTCCTGAAGAAGCTGAAGCAGATCGGCCGGATGCGTCTCTAACTCGTGTGTACCGTAGGGATAGACGAGACTGTGCTTCGAGAGCCAGTCCGCGACTCTATTCCCTTCACGGTATACATGAACTAGATTCACAATCCACTCTTGAGCAAACTGACGCCTGATAGTCGTTAAAAGGGCTGCATAGGGGTGTAAAGGGTCTGACCTGTCTTTCACCAGTTGAATTGCAAGCTGAGAGTCGGTTTCCACGATGAGGGTTCTGCAACCGTATTTCCATGCCAACTTGAGACCATGAAAAATGGCCCAAAGCTCCGAACAAATGGCTGTACAGGAACCCAAGCCGGCAACGAACCCACCGATCCATTTACCATCCGCACCTCTCAAGACTCCCCCTGCACCTGCTGTCCCTTGATTTGCACTCGCCGCCCCATCCACATTAAGTTTACTCCAGCCAGCCGGAGGTGGCTTCCACCCGATCTGATTAGATGTACAATGTAGAATATGATTCTTACATTAGATGTATAGTATGCAAATAATAGAGAATGCTAAATTTTGCCATGTTAAATGTTGGATGTTTCTTAGGAGAATATAGAGAATGCTAAATTATTTGTGATAATTGTTAAATTAAATGTACTTGTTAGATCTTCTATTATTGTGGAGTATTACTTATATTATGAGATCTAACATTGTAGGATATTGATTATTACGGAGGGGATGACAAAGATTACACCTCTGAATTCGTCAATGGAGTAAAATACGATACAGATTTAATTTCATATGCAGCAGCTACTGAGATTGCCAAGGGTTTGGGGTTTTATTTGGTGAAAGCATCAAATAAAAAAAATCCAAGTAAAGATAGTAGGCGATGATACTTGAAGGGCACTCATTTTAGGAAGAAAAACCTGAAGGCTAGCTCCTGATTCTGATCCGGCTAAGGAAAGGAGGCCTCTTACTTCTTCTAGAAAGTTGGGGTGTGAATTTCATATCAAGATTGAGCGGTCAGATGATGGATATTGGTTGATACTAGCAGTGGCAAATACAAAGAATCCTGGTGCTAATTTGGTGTTTTCACAATCATCTGTTGGAGCTATTTTCGAACGGATCAAGTAAGAGAAATGTTTTGACCGAAGATGATAAGCAATACATCAGAAAACTGGGATTACCCGGTGTCGCCCCAAGGAATATCCACAAGGCAGTGAACTAGAGAAAAGAGGAGCATGAAAAGGTGAATAGAAGATAGTTTATAACGCATTTTATAAGATAAGAAAAGAAGAGCTTGGTCATAGGACGACCTTACAGTACACTTTTCAAGATGCTCGGGAGAAGGATTACTATATGCAGTATATGGATGACCGTAACGTGCTTACACACTTGTTTCTAGCCCACCATGAGTCATTATTGATGTTGCGAGCTTGGCACCATGTCATCGTGATAGATGCAACATACAATACCAACAAGTATGAGTTGCCATGGGTTGATATTGTTGGCATGACACCGGTGGGATTGAACTTTCTCATTGCATCTGCGCTAGTGTAAGACGAGACAAAAGAGTTGTACTAGTGGCTTCTCAATTATCTGCAACATTTGCTTGGCTCTATCACCCCAGATGTATTTGTCAGTGACAAATCAGGAGGATTGGTTGAGACCGTGGGGGTAATGTTTCCATCATCGACTCATATATTATGCCTTTGGCATGTAGATAGGACGTCTCATTGTGGGATAGATGCAGCCAAATCGACAGTGGATCTGATCATGGCGTCTTGGAAAAGGATTGTATATGCCGACAGAGAGGAAGGCATGAACAGAGCTTTAGACAGTTTCAGGCGTAGTTGGGGAGTACAGTATCCACGACTTTGGAGGTACTTGTCAGCTGAGTGGTTACCAAACAGGCACATGTGCGCAACATGTTATACAAACCAAGTGAGACATTTGGGTAATACAAACTCAAATTGGGTTGAATTTGCTCATGGCTTCTTCAAGAAGTGGCTTCAATCATCAACCGGTGCAATCGACACGGTTAGTCTCTTAATAAATTTTCATTTATGTCTTCTTTAGAAGTTTTACTTAATCGAGTATCCTAATTTTCTTTCTTTGTTTGTAGGTTTATAAGAAGAACCATGATTACATTGAGCCATAATTTTCTTTCTTTCTCTAACAGAATAGATAATGGCATTCGGCGTTGCAGGTGGACTCCAGATCATGGTTGTGGCGTTACCCACTGGATGGATAATGTGGAGCTTTTCGTCTTTGCCACATTGCTTTCATGGGCAATTCTGTCTATACTCAAGGCGGCGGTTATACCGTGCTACCTGTGATTACCCCACCAGGAGTAACAAGACCACGTGGGATCTTATCACTACATTTTACGGGATGTCATTGGGTGCGTCTTAACGTTCGACCTGGTCAAGTGCCATTGCCTTCGATTAATGGGCTTTGGCCTATTTATCATGATCCTAGTGTCCATGGTTGGGACCAATTCTTCTCGCAAGAACGTCAATTTTATGATAGTTTAAACCAAGGCGATTGATGGTTAGATGTAGTTGTAGTTATTGTATTGGATGCAACTTTTGATTTACTATTTTAGAAATGCAAAAGAAAAAAAATCCAATCATCTGAAAATTCCAAAATTTAGACAATCGTCTAAAAATACCACAATCATATCATGGGCAATGATAAACTAGCAATTCCAAGTAAAAATAAAGTACAAGGATAACAAACTAATAGTCCAAGGATAACAATCTAGAAATGCCACACTCCACTAAGTAGTCGCTCCGGCATAATGGTCATACAACTCGTGAACCACACTCATCATATCGTAGTACTCATATGCGTGCTCCACATAGTGACTCTTATCCCTCACCTGAAACACGGGACCAAGCCTCTCCACAATCTGCTTCCTCAACTGTAAATACAAAAAAAAATGTCATGAATGAAAAAAAAAACATATGAACTATACATTAAAAAATAAACAATTATGACATAACTAACCTCATCGACTAGCACTGGTCGCGATAGAGACACTCCACCAGAGTCTGGATTGATGATCCCTGGGTGCGCTCAAGTCCGATACCAGTCTATGTAATCCTCATCGGCCTCAGATGGATACTCGCACCAGTCATCAATCTCTATGTATACAAAATGAGACGGCAAGTTGCACCATAACTGATCCATGCAAACCTCCCAGAAAACGATGTAGGTGCTGCAAGAAGCTGGGCGGTACATCCTTGGGAACCATTATCGTACGGGGAATAGTCCGTCAATACCCAAACTGTCGGTGACACCGTGCAGGATCAGAACCCTTAGCAACGTCAGCAAAGCGAATGAAACCAGTATACAAAGAGCATAGTACCTCCGTGCCAGCATCTCGCCCGTAAGGAGTCCAAGACACATCCTCCCTTGACATCCCATCCAACATCTCTCGATACCGTACCAAGCGCTGTCTAGCATCATCACCACCTGCAAAGCGGTGACACACCCACGAGGAAGCACGAGGAGCATCTGGAGCCTGGGGAATCTGGCTCGGACGGAAGAGTGAAAAGTAATCATATATCCAAGACTGAAGCAGAGTCAAAAAATCACAAATACTCTTACTCCCCACTCGTCGCTGGTCAATTAGAAATACATTGATCGCAGGACGGAGGCGATCGCGACTCATATCCACAAAAAGTGTGGATCCCAACAACACAAACAAGTAACACTGCACCTCCAGGTCCCTAATCTTCATTTCTCGTCCATGCACCAACAATCCCTCTGCATGTATACTACCATTAAGGAACCACTACGACTTCCACTTACTACAAACATGACCATCCACCGGGACCCGAACTAGATCATGCATGTCTAACTTAAGAACATCTGAATGCGGGTCATCTCTCATTAGATCCCCCTCAAGTGGAATACAAAGATGTGATGCACGTCGTGGAGAAGAATCGACATCTCTCCAAATGGCATGTGGAAGGTGTTCGTGTCCGGCTGCCATCCCTCCACAAAAGCCGTTATCAAAGCTGCATTTAAATGCTGCATTATGCACCCTGCCAAGTGGGACAATCCTGTGCCCTCAACCACCTCCTAAGAACCCTATGAATTCCACTCATATATCCTCAAAGAATCCACACTACCAGATCTATGGCAACAATCCAACAACCCATGATCCTACGCAGGGGAAGTCCACAATGCAAAGGCTATGTGACCTCTAAAACTAGGGATCACATCGGGAATCACAGGTCCACCTGAACACATCTGAGACTCCGATTTCAGATGCCACGACAATTCCCCCTTGCTCTTTTCTTCTTCTTCTTCTTCTTCTTCTTCTTCTTCTTCTTATTATTATTATTATTATTATTATTATTATTATTATTATTATTATTACCATCACCGTCTTCCTCACTACTACGTCTCGCAACGTAGCATCCATCTAGCCCACGCTGTGGAAAGTGCGAAGAAGCAGTAGAAGATGTCCCAACCTCATCAGATTCAGGTGCGACATGCCCAACCTCATCAACAACCACATCATCATCATCGTCGTCGTCGTCGTCCATAGAAACTGAATCACTCCAATTAGCCTCCCACGGAGTCGCATCCTCAGGTGTATGCGTGGAGGTAGTACCTCGACTAAGAGATAACTACCCCATAGTAGGGCGACCGTCGGGACGCCTTACTTCCGCCTTCTTCTTCTTCCCCTTAACCTTACGTGGATTTTTTCCTTCATTTTCTTTTCGACCAGTCGCTGTAAGTCTACAAGCACGACCTTCCATTCTTCCTTCCGTTTTTTTCTTCCATTCTTTTCTTATTATGTGCGGTTTGCCTATTCCATGTCTAGACATCTTAAAAAAAATACAATTAATGATAATCAAATGCATTAACATTTTTTGCTAATCATCTATAATTTTTTGTAATTTTTTGATAATTTATTAACATTAGTTACAACTTTCTTAGTCATTTTTCTAATTTTTCCCCATTATTTCTAATATTTTTTTAACATTAATTACAAATTTACATATTATATTTCTAGATTTTGATACTTTTTAAAAAAATTCAGATGATTTATAATTTTTTATATTATTCACAATATTTATTCATAATTGAATTCATAAAACTATAAGAATAATATTTTTATAATTAATTATAAATTGTACAACTTATTTATAATTAACTACAATTTATTTCTAATTATTACATAATTTATAAGATTTAATAACAATGTTCATTAATTAATTGCATACAAATTATTTAAAAATTAAACCAACCGAAAATTGATTGAGGTTTGACTGTGGGCCAACCGAAAATTGACCAAGGGTTGATCATGGCTCAATCGAACGTTGACTTTGGTTTAACCGAAGGCCAACCGAACTTTGACCTTGGTTTGACCGAAGGCAAAACGAACGTTGACCTCGTTTTAACCGAGGGCCAACCGGACGTCGGCTTCAGGTTGTTGAAGGGAGAAGACGGGCAGTGCGCTTACCTTCTCCGACGGGAAACGAGGAGGCGCAGGCGGCGACTGCAGGCTCGGACGACAGCGAGGCGCGGCGGACGGCGACCGGAGGCGCGGCGGGAGGAGAGGCTGAAGGCGATGGCTACTTGAGGCGAGACTGGAGGCTCGACCGGAGGCGCGACGGACGACGACCGGAGGCGCGGCGAACGCCGACTGAAGGGCCGAGGACTTGAACTCCGGCGGAAGGCCAGGTGTGACATTTTGATTTCCGACGAGGAAAACTCTAGTGTTTGAATTCAATGATTTGCACCTTGACTTCTTGAACAACTATTAACAACACGGTTTACACCTCTCCGAACAATGTTCGAACGAGGGTGTTTGAGGATTTTGATGGCTGAGAAATCTAAGTTACATTACTCTACTCCTATGGAGGTTCATTGAGAGCTCCGAAAAATAAGGCTATGACTAATTTGCAGAGAAATGATAGAAGTTTGACATTGTGCGTCAAATGGTTGGTTGTGAAACCCTTGCTTCGTCTTTGTTTCTCCTATTTGTAGCCATCACTTGTAACCTCTTCTTGGTAACCGCTGCTCCACTGCTTGATGCTTGGTGTAGCATGCTTGACACCTTAACCACCTTGCTTGCACACATACGACTCGGTACCTTGATAACTTAACGACTTCACTTAGCAGGTAGCTATCTTGTGCCGTGGAGGTATCTCGCTTGATTTCAACTTGACTTAGATGCCATGACCACCCTTACACAATACCATGCTCGACACCATGGTGCTTGGGGATTTGATGGATGCACACTTATCCCTTTGGATGGCATCATGCTTGTAAGGTCATGACAAGGTGGTCTACCATCCATGATGCCTAGCATGCCTGACTACTTGGAAAGAGGGTGCGTTGTGTCATACCCCCTTGGCTTGATATCATGCTTAGTACCCTGCAATTTGGTATGTGGGTAGCTAGGTGCTTGACCCTTTTTCATGACATCATGCTTGAACCCCCTTGGATGATGTCATGCTTGACACCCCTTGGTCGAGTGTCAACACTTGGCCAAAATTTGCCTTGCTTGGTATGTGGGTAGCTAGGTGCTTGACCACTTTGCATGACATCATGATTGACCACCCCTTGTGGTTGAGTCTCAACACTTAGCCAAATTTTGCCTTCTTCCTTTGTCACGTCTAGAGGTAGTTGATATCACTAGTGTTGTCAAAATCAAACCGGACATCAACCATGATTAACTAGAGGTTCAAGGTTTATCGGATAACCGTTGATTAACCGCTATTAAAACGATCATAAATCGGTGCTTAGCTTCATAAAAAATAGAGTAAGAATAAAAAAAAAGGTCAAAACTGAAAGGAAAGAGACTAGGGAACGGTAGGGAGTATTTATCAATTAAAAAGATGCAAATATGTATGAGGTTGTTTACTTTTCCCTAGCACATCGGTGACAGTAGGGAGTAAGGTAGCGACGTAGCCCGTAACTTCGCATTCTTTCTGTTGCCTTGTCTCATTATTTTTTATTTATTAATCAAAAGAATGAAAAAATTGAGGCGACAGTTTATTTTTCCCTAACCCGCCCATTTTTAGGCTTTTGGGACTGGACTTGTGCCCGGGTCCGGTTTTATTCGGTCCGATCGACCGGTCCGGTGTAGTTTTAATAACACAAGATATCACCCTCTTTGCACGACATCATGCTTCATATCCGAGTGCAAGGTAGGTAGGCGACCATGATACTTGGTGCTTGACTCCCCTTGCATGACACCCCCATTATGATTGAGTCTCCACACTTAGCCAATTTTCGCCTTCTTTCCCCATCACGTCTAGGGGCACTAGCTAGTTCTCACACTTGGCCAAAATTTTGCCTCCACCATGCTGGGTGGTTGATGTGGAAGGGTGTTAACTCTTGGCGCTTGACCCCTCTTGTATAACAAGTGGGTGTTTGGTGGGTCAAAGTGTGTGTTGAGATAGCTTGTATAAAGCCCAAAATTCTAGTTTTAATAACACAAGATATAACCCTCTTTGCACGACATCATGCTTGATATCCGAGTGCAAGGTAGGTAGGAGGCCATGATACTTGGTGCTTGACTCCCCTTGCATGACACCCCATTATGATTGGGTCTCCACACTTAGCCAATTTTTTCCTTCTTTCCCCATCACGTCTAGGGGCACTAGTTGGTTCTCCCACTTGGCCAAAATTTTGCCTCCACCATGCTGGGTGGTTGATGTTGAAGGGTGTCAACACTTGGCGCTTGACACCTATTGTATGACAAGTGGGTATTTGGTGGGTCAAAGTGTGTGTTGAGGTAGCTTGTATAAAGCCCAAAATTCTATCATTGGGTGTGATGAGAAATTTCTGTCAATATTTTTTGTCACTTAAAAATAATAAGTGGGGTCTTATGGATAAAAGATTGGTTTTGTAACCTAATTTAATGGTCGCTAAAAGCTAAACGAGGTAGGTAGCCTTAACCAATTGCGTCATGTTTGTGATGACTTAAGTAGAGTGATTAGTTTTAAGAGTAGGCATTGTCAATAACCAGTTGATCTCCAATAACTCGAGTTATTGGGAGAATTATGTTGGATCTTATACTACTCTTTAATACGCCCCCTTAAACGAAAGTGAATTTTTGGGCTTGAAGTTTGCACATGCTCACGATACCTTGTGCTTTAATCAACTGTTAATATTGGGTGTCGTGGAGATTCGAACACGCGACCACTTTGACCAAACCAGCTCAGATACCATGTCATGAACCAGTTGATCCCAATAACTCGAGTTGTTGAGAGAAGGTTATGTTGGATCGTATACCACTCTCCAATAGGCATTAGGTGGGTCCAGTGGATTTTGACCATAAAATGCATCCATTCATGCTAACGGATTGACAATTTTTAACCCACAACCCACTCACATTTAGTTTCTGGTTGGGTCGGGTGGATGGCGGATGATACGGGTGAGTTTGTGTGTTCACCCACATCACAATGTACATAATATAAAGGAGCCAACTTTACATTATCCATTTATATTTCAGAACCCCTGTGTAATGTCATTATGTAAAACAAAACTACATTTCAACATCCGTTCACCCTCCAAAATTGAGATTCACTTCAACTAGCAAGATAACTTATGGAGAGTTATTGGGCGAAAACAATAAGATGGAATAGGAAGAAAATATATTGAATGCGATCTTAAATTGAATATAAATTCTATTATGGAGGAGTT